ATTATGTTCAATTTGTAACAATGAAATTGGGGGTCACCACAACATGAGGAACTGTGTTAAAGGGTCACGGCATTAGGAAGGTTGAGAACCACTGTTCTAGAGCAAGGGTAGCAAATGCTCCAAAATTCCAGATAGTAAATATTTTAGGCTTTCAGGACACACACTTTCTCCATTTTCAAGTTGGTCATTGATAACTTAGTTGAAACGGTTCCTTTCTTTGAAAGACACAAACTTCCAAAACTCACACACAGAAAATACAGAACATCAGACTAGGCTTATATCTATAAAAGAAGTTTAATCAGTGGTTAATAACTTTCAAAAAATAGAATTCATCAGGTCCATATGGTTTCAATGATGAATTCTACCAAACAGTAAGGAAGAATTACCATCTCCCTACAAGCTCTTCCAAAAAATAGAAGCAGAGAGAACATGTTTTAACTTATTCTATGAAGCCAGTATTACCTTAATAACAAACCAGATTAAGAACATTACAATAAAGGAAAACTTAGACAAATATTGTTTATGAACATAGATCTCCAACAAAATCTTAGCCAACCGAATCCAACAATGTATCTAGTGTATAAATGAAAGGCTTTTTGACGCTTGTTAATTTCCACTGAGTTGCCTCCACCACAGGATTTTCCAAAGTGTTTCACAGAAAACTAGTCCTCGAGATATTAGTAGCTAGATTTTCACGGCTAAATGCTTTCGATAAATGCTGGATTGAACAAAGAATGGCATAATTGTTTATAACAGAATATATCACAGACTTTATTATTCTATAATGTCTATGCGTGTCTCCAAAACAGAGTATACATTCTTTCCCAAACTTATTTGAGAAAAAAATCCTCCTTTCTACTTCGTTTGTTTGGGTGAAGGCAAGAGAATTTCATGAAATTGGTGGCATCCTTTATTTTTTTTTTTTCATTCTGTGGGCTAGCAATACTCTTTTTTTTATTATTAAATCATTATGGTTCAGATTATTACAGTTGTTCCTCTTTTTTCCCCCATGGCTCCCCTCCACCCAGTTCCCACCCCACCTTCTGCCCTTACCCCCCTCCCCACTGTTCTCATCCATAGGTGTACGATTTTTGTACAGTCTCTTCCCGCACCCCCCACCCTTCCCCCCCCCCCCCCCGAGAATAGTCAGTCCATTCCCTTTTTATGGTGGCATCCTTTAGTACACACTTTGAGAATTGCTACTCTGCCATATGTCACATCAATGATTCATGGGCCATGACTTATCGTGTTTGTCAGTATATCCCCTACTACTCCCAGCAACAAGCACAGCAGTTAGCACATGAAAGTATTTGTTAAGTAAATGGATGACTTTCCTTAAGAAAAATGACCACAAAACTCTACACTTTCTGTAGCTCTTCTAGATTTTACTTTCACTTCCCTACAGAGGCAATAAACCATCTAGGATCACAGTGAACAGCTCAATATAGACAGTCCACCTCGACATGAAAGAATTCCAAAACCTAGTCTCACCAGGACTCTCTGTTCCAGGAATTCTTTCATTTGAAAATGAAATTCTCCTCCCAGGGGTGAACCAGGGAAGATGGGTCTGTGGTTCATCTTATCACTCCCCAAATTCAACTTGCTTCACAAGAGCCCATTAGGAAAGGCCTCAAAGGAAACAGCCACTTGGGTTATATTATGTGAATGCATGGCGGTCAAAGCCATAAAACCTTGCCCTTTCCTCTTCTCCACCAAAAGTTAAACAAGGACATGGTTTCCCCACCATAGCCTGATAACAGCTGTCCCAGAGGATGGATTGCACATGGATTACAACTAACTGGGGTCAAGGAGAGAATGTCTACAGTTTTGCAAAGGAGGAGCACATCTTGGGCTGAGAAAGTGCGTGTTCCCTCATCTACTAGTATTTCTCTGCCCCCAAACGCTCAGCCCCTGTGGCACTTGGTGTTTCTACGTTCTGCAGGCTCTGTCATTGAACAACAAAGAGCTCTGACCCTTGTTTCTTCTAAGAGCTGAAGGAGCTCCTTAGCCCTGCAAAACACAGCGAAGGAAAAACGAGTTCAGCCAAAATTCAAGCCTAAATTCTAAATCTAAATATTTTAACTGATCACGATGGCCATGTGTCACAAAATTATAACTTTCTTTAAAAAAGAAAAACAAACCCTGCTAATTCTGCTCTAAATATTTTATGCAGAATGCTTTCTAGAGCCCTTTTTGAACTCTCCACACTTTATATATGCAAGAAAAGAAAACTGAAAGTAAGAGTCACTCAGTTTAAATATAGTCCTAAGATGAATTTCAATCTCCCTGGTCCTCAGTGCTCATGCTGCTGTCCAGACCAGCAGATGCTACAAGGTGGGGTTTCCTGTCACATAGGGAACTTGGACTAAATTACTCCAGAGGGGTATGTGCCATTTCTAAGTTTGTGGGTTGCTTCACTGTGTGGATAGCAACTGTTGTTAGATACTAATGCTACACAGATTTCCTAAATATTCTGTGTGGCAATGGCTGAGCCAGATGCGAACCACATCAGGAGAGACATGCGTGACAGCGTTTTCCTAAATGCCGTGATGAATTATAATTTGCAAAGAGGAAAACTGCAGCCGCATGATGCCAGGACGATTTCCTCCGAACACCACTCTCATCGGGTCATGTTCTCCCTGGACAGAGTCAACGCTCCCTTTTGTGGTGAACTCTAAAGACTGGTAGGAAAGACTTCAGTCCTCTGCCTGCCCTACCTTAAGCTTATCCAGAAGGACCCCTGCACCCCAGGGAACTTCTTTATTCTCTTCCTATGTATTTTGCTGGGGTGGCTCTTTCTGTCTGGAATACAGGGCTCCAACACCCTTCAAAACCTGGCTCACACCTCAGCATCTTCCCTACCCAAGGAAAGGAGCCTTCCCTACCCAACGCCCTCTCCATGCCGATCATTCGCCTGTATTCAACATCCCCTGCAGTTATTATCTAAAGCTGTCATTGTGGCTATTGGTGGTAGCCACTGGAAACCTTAACATCAGACCTGTGTCCCCCAAACCAACTGGGTGGAACGCTGCATTTTCTGCACTTCCTCCCTCTCACTTTCGCTCTCCATCCAGAACCAGGATCCTGAATCTTTGTTTACTAAGAACCTTTTGACACATTACCTTCTCTAACTCCCTCCCAACTCCTCCTTGGTGGTTCATGCTTATGTAATATTTACCACATGGTATTATAGTGATCTGTCTATCTTCACCACTAGACCATCAGCGACTCAAGGACCATAATATAATCTTTTGGAAATATCATACATATGTCACTCCTCCCCAAATGGATCTAATTCCAATAGAAAGCCAAATAGAATTGTTGAGGAACTTGGCCAATAATTCTCAAATTTATATGGAGGAGCAAAGACATAAGAATAAACAAGGCACCCCTGAAGAGGAATAGTAAGACTTACTACAAAGTAATGAAAACAGTGTTGTACCCACATAGAAATAGACAAATTGCCCAGTGGAGAAGACTAAAGAACCAGAAACAGAGACAGAGAGAGAAGGGGGTGTGGGTCCTTGCAATATAATAGACTAGAGGCACGATGCACAAAATTTGTGCAAGGGGATTGGCCTTTGCAACCCCGGCCGGCCCTTGCAGCCCCGGCTTTGTCCAGAAGGCCATCCAGACGGTCATCCGGAAGGTCAGCCAGATGGTCGTCCTGCTGTTTGGTCTAATTAGCCTATTAGCTCTTTTTTATATAGGATAAGGCATTATAGATCACAAGGAAAAAAATTCCTCAACAAATGTAGTGCAATTGGTAATTCATATGGAAAAAAATTGTAATTAGATCCTGCTTTACACCATAGAGAAAATCAGACCCTAGTGGATTTAAGACATAGATGTAACAGGTAAAAATCTAAAATTTTTTAAGACACTGCCCAAGCATATCTTTAGGACCCCAGGGTGGCAAAGCTTTCTTAAACAGAACACAAATGTATAAACTAGGAAAGAAAGAAATAATAAATCTGGCTGCATTCAAATTAAGAACTTCTAACAGTAGATCCCATGATGAAAATGACCGGAAAGCCACACACCAGGAGAAGATATTTACAATATGTGTAATCAATAAAAAATACATAAAGAGGATTTATTTTTAAGTCTTCAAAGTCCAATAAATAAGAAAATACAAAACCAAACAGTCCCATAGAAAAAAAAAATGAGTAAAAGATAGGAACAGGCAACTCACAGAGCAGGAAGCATGAACTGCCCAGAAATACAGGAACGAACACACAACCTCATTAGTAATCGGAGAGACACTAATTAAGACACCAATGAGATACTACTTTTCACCCACTGGACTGGCAAAAATTAAGAAGCCTGACACTGTCAAAGTCTTGGGGAGGGTGTGAATCAAGTGGCATTTTTCTACGCTGTTGAGAGGAGTCTAAATTGGTACAATCACTTGAGAAAAAAGAGGTTGAATGTTCACATACGTTTTAGCCTAGCAATTCTACCCAAGAGAAACTCTTGCACACCTGCCCAAGATTCATGTGATTCTACTTCTAAGTAGAAACCTCAGAGAAACATTCGCATAGCATTTGTGTGTAGGAACATTCATAGTAACATTGTAATAACAACTGGAAATAACCCCTGTCCGAATGGCCAGGGAATACACAAACAATTATTTACTCATACTCACACAGTAAAACTTTATGTAGTTTTACTACATGCCACACGGACCAATCTTAGAAACATAATATTGAGTGAAAAAAGCAAGTGAAAAGAAGACTAGGTAGAGCATAATGCCATTTTTATAAAGCAAGCAAAAATAAATAGCATGTTGTTTGAGGTTGAATACACATGAGCTAACTTATTCTTTGAAACAAGGGGTTCCTAGAAATAACATTCAGAATGTTAGTATGCAGGGCTGTTGTGATTATGTTGTCATGCTTCATCATTACTCGTGTGATACTCACATTCCTTTGCATATATCAACTGTTACATAATAATAATAATAATAATAATAATAATAATAATAAAAGGGAAGTCACCTGGCCAGGCTCTTCTGAGAACACGGGAGCAAGATTCTTCCAGTTACTCGTGATTCTGCCTGTGCTCACAGACTCGCCAACGTCCAGCGTTAGAGCTGGATGGCCCAGCGAGATCATCCATGCCCATCACTAAGGGTACAGGTTAGGAACCTGAGACGCAGCGACCATAGGCGACTGTTCTGCCATCACCTGTCAGAGGCAGGAGTCCAATCCAGTTATTCTTCCCTTGGACCAGGTTTGATGACCACACCCTTCGGTCTGATGAATAATAAAAGAAAACTCCCATCTTCTTTATTTTCATCTCCAAAGCCTGGTCCAAGGCCCGACAATGTGTTGGCCTTCAAAATGGTTGTTAACTGTATGTTACGGAATTCTCAATGGATTGTCCACAAGGTGTCTCCAAAGTGGGAAAAAGTAATTTTTTTCTCCTGGTTCAATGGCTTCAAACAAACAAACAAATATTCCTGGAAGCAAAACAGAAGAATCTATCAGTCATGTCATTAATGGGCATTCCCAGAACTGGTGCGTGGGGGCACATGGGAGGAGAGATCTGAGAGAAGGGCGGGGAGATCTCTGCAGAGACCACGGATGCACTTCCCAGCAGGCCAGCCTCGCGTGACTGACTTCTTTAGCTTAAGGTATAGAATTCAGAAGGAAGGAGCCAAACCCTGGGAATGTGTCTTTGTTGCCTCCGAGGCGAGGAGTTGCCAGGGTCTGTGGTTTGGCTGTGGAAGGAGCAGTGGAAGCATTTTCTCTTCCATTCTATCTGCATAACAGGCTGGCCGAGCCCACGGCGTGTTAGTAAGTTCCTGGCAAGGCAAGTGGTTTCCGTCTTACTTCACTGCTGGCTTCCCTGAGCCTCAGGTTTCCCAAGTCCCTCGTGCTTCGAGGTGCAAGTCCCCTCAGGTATCATTATTCTTCCTCCGTTGGTTCCCCCAGACCTTCCCTGTCACCAGAAGGCTGGGCCGAGGCTCTCATCTGTGGGGAATCTGCAGCCAGCCTCCTCCTGCATCTCTTGCTGGACAATTGCTCAGCAAAGGCTCTCAGAGCAGAGCTGTGGTCCTGGCCTCAGTGATGCTCTGGCCTACGGTCTCTCAGGGGGCCCAGGTGTTCCAGCTGCAGCTGCCAGTGGCCACGCCTCTGATCTACCACAACACCTCCCGGAGGGACTGTGTTGACAGACCAAGACTCTCATCCAGAAACATAATACATCTCCCCCTTTACTCAAATCTTTTACATCCCTCAATAAAGTTTGGTTTCTTCACCAAACCCCACGCATTTCTCAGTAACTATATTTCTAGGTATATTCTCTTTGAGTTGACCATAGCCAGCAATCTAAAAAGGCTCTGAGATAATATCTAAAAACAACCTAAGTGCCCATCAGCAGATAAGTGGATAAAAAAGCTGTGGTACATTTACACCAATGAATACTATGCAGCTGTAAAAAAGAAGGAACTCTTACCCTTTGAGACAACATGCCAGGGGCCTGGAGGTTATTATGCTAAGTGTAATAAGCCAATCAGAGAAAGATAAGTATCACATGATCTCACTTAAATGTGGAATCTAATGAGCAATATAAACTGATGAACAAAATAGATCTAGAGACATAAAAGCATGCAAGAGACTAATGAATCTCAGAAGGAAGGTGTGGAAGGAGAAGAGAAACCAAGAACTTATGTGCACAGATGCATAACCCATGGACACAGACAATAGTGTGGGAGTGGGGAGGAAGGGAGTAATGGGGGTGGGGGACATCTGTAATACTTTCAACAATAAAGATAAAATTTAAATAAATAAAATAAAAAGGCACTGATATGCCTGCTGGCTGCTGGGAGTTCTAATGAGGACCTTAGCCAGGATGGCACCATCTGTTTCCTCTAAACAAACCACTTCTCTCCCATGGAGAAACACCACTGCCCTGCAGGTTGTGTGAAGCCCGGCTGCTCACTAGCAATTTCTGGTCTGTACAGGTCATCCCCAAGGGACTGTAGAGAGGGCACTGCTCACCACAGTGAAAACCTGGATATGGTCCCCCACCTACAGTAATGCCAGGAGCAGGTGTGGCCACCTCGGCTGGTCACCATACTTGGCCAAGGCTGCCTGACTTACTACACATAGAAGGGCTGTGGGCAGATGACAGGAAATGCTTTCTCCTCAGCTGAGCTCACTGGGTGCCTGTTTGGAGGAACATCACCTTCAGCCACAGGTTATATGGGTGATGTTTGTATTTCTTGCTCATTTGGGGTTTTGATTTCCAGCACACTTGGGTCTCAACTTTTGCACCTGGTTTTTCACATCACTGGTCCCAATGATTCAGTAAAACCTAACTCATGAGATTGTGGTGAGGCACAAATGACTTTGCCAAGAGCCACGCAAATGAGAGGCACCACAATTGTACCTGAAGACTAATAATAAATGTACCATCGGAGGAACCAAGATGGCAGCGTAGGTAAATGCCTGTACTTGCCGCCTCCCACAACCACATCAAAATTACAACTAAAATACAGAACAACCATCATCCAGAACCGCCAGAAAGCTGGCTGAATGGAACTCCTACAACTAGAGAAGTAAAGAAGAAAGCACACTGAGACGGTAGGAGGTGCGGAGGCGTGGAATGGGCTGGTCCGGCACCCACGTGGGCTGCTTTTTTAACTGGGAGGGAGAGTCTCTCTGCAGAGGCCCCCCAGAGGAGCAAGGGGTCTCAGCCCCACACCAGACCTCCAGCCAGGATTCCAGAGCTGGGAAGAGAAGTCTCCATAACTACGGCTGTAAAAACCAGTGCAGTTTGGGGCTCAGTGACACAGAGGCTGCTGGAGACCCAGCTGTTCCTCTTAAAAGGCCGGTGCATGAACTGAACTTACAAGTTCCGCTTCCTCTGAGCTCCAGGCTTCCTGGTTCAATGGCTTCAAACAAAGAAACAAAAGGGTGAGGCTCTGGGAGACACAGACACATACCACGAGGAACAGGATTGTCTGGCATCGGGGCAGGAACTCGGGGGCAGCTTTCTCCCAGATGGAGGTGCTTGCAGGGATCATATGCTGGGAACTCCCTGCTTGTAGGGCTGACTGGCAGTCATTTCTGTTTGCCCCGCCCTGGTGATTCCCTAAGAACCTGCCTCATCCAATTTACCACCTCACCCAAGCTGTGTGCAGTGGTTTTTACATATGAATGGCCTGTCCTTACTTAGGCTAAACAAGCTGCAGCTGGGTCCGAGTCCCAAACCTATCAATAAAAGGCCCAAGACCCAGCACCAGCACCAGCCTGCCTTCACAGCTGGGTCTCGTCTGGGCACTTCCAAACCCGACACAAAGAGGAATCTTCAGATCTCTCTGTAGCTCCTGCTGGATGGCCCTTTGTGCATAGATGTAAACCCATGCACCTTCCTGGAGACCCTGGAGACCCAGTGTACCCAGTGGTCAGTGTCAGACCATACCAGAGTACAACTCTACACATCCATAAGCGACACACTCAAGGGGCAGACTCAGTGAGCACCAAAGCTCCACTGAAGCAAGTCCTGCTCCACAGGGGTGTCTCCTGCTCAGCAGCTCTCCCATTGTAGTCTCAGCTGGTTCTCATAGCCAATTGGCCTGCAGGTCAATTCCTCCCAGTGACACCAACAGCAATCAAGTCTCAACTACAATAAGACTATGCTCACTGCCCACAAAGGGATGCACCTAGAGGGCCCAGCTCAGGTGACTGGGGAGGCTGCTACTGGGCCCTATAGGACACCTAATACACAAGGCCACTCTACCAACTCAAGGAGACATAGCAGCTCTACCCAATACATAGAAACAAACACAGGGAAGCAGCAAAAATGTAGAGACAAAGAAACATGTCACAAATGAAAGAAATGGAAGAAAATAAACTATTGGATATAGAGTTCAAAACCACAGTTATAAGGTTACTCAAGAATCTTCTAGAAACCTCCAAGAGACTTAGTGAGACTTTTAAGGATCTTATTGAGAATGGAAAAAAAAAAAGAAATGGAAAAGACCAGTCAGAAATTAAGCAGACACTGACTGAAATAAAGAATAATGTAGAGGGATTCAACAGTAGAGTAGAGAATTCTGAGAATCAAATCAATGATTTGAAATATGAGAAAGCAAAAAACACTCAACCAGAAGAGCAAAAAGAAATAAGAATCCTAAAATATGAAGATAGTATAAGGAGCCTCTGGGACAACTTCAAGTGCCAGAAGAAGAGAGAGAGCAAGATATTGAAAACCTACTTAAAGAAATAATGACAGAAAACTTCCCCTACCTGGTGAAAGAAATAGACTTACAAGTCCAGGAAGCACAGAGTCCCAAATAAGAGGAATCCAAAGAGAACCACACCAAAACACATCATAATTAAAATGCCAAGGGCAAAAGACAAAGAGAGAATCTTAAAAGCAGCAAAAGAAAAGAAGTTAGTTACCTACAAGGGAATGCCCATACGACTGTCAGCTGATTTCTCAACAGGAGCTACGCAGGCCAGAGGGAGTGGCAAGAAATATTCAAAGTAATGACTAGCAGGGACCTACAACTAAGATTACTCTACCCAGCAAAGCTATCATTTAGAATTGAAGGTCAGATAAAGAGCTTCACAGACAAGAAAATGCTAAAGAAGTACATCACCACCACACCAGTATTATATGAAATGTTAAAGGGTATTCTTTAAGAAGGAAGAGGAAGGAAAAAAAAAGAAAAAAAATAACAAAATGGCAACAAACACAATCAACAATTGAATCTAAAAATAAAAATAAATGAATAAGAAATCTAATGAATAGAATAAACTGGTGAATAAAATAGAATCAGAGGAATGGAAATGGAATAGACTGATGATTCTCAGAGGGAAGAGGGAGGGGGCAGGAAGTGATTAAACAAATCTTATATGCATATATTTCATTACCTATGGACACAGACAATAGGGTGGTGAAGGCCTGGGGTGGGGTGGGAACCAGGTGAAGGGGGGCAATGAGGGGAGAAAGAGGGACATCTCAACAATAAAGATTAAAAATAATAATAATAAAGGTACCATCAATACCTTTTTTCAAGATGACAATTAATTATGTAGTGTTTACCTGCAGGTAGAATATGAGAGATTCTGACAGCACCAGAAAATGGTGACAACAACAAAAATAATAATAATACTAGTTCATGTTTATTAATCACATACTTCATGTCAGGCACTGTGCTAAGGCCTTCATGTGGCGTTTCTCATTTACTCTTCAGGCAGGTAATATTATTCATCCATTGTTACCAAGTTTTAGTGACCTTTGCCAAGGTCACATCACTTCTAAGTGGCAGAGCTGGGATCCAAATGCGAAGTACAAAAGACTTGAGCCTTGCTCCCAAGAAGCTTCCAGACTATCAAGAAAAATAAAATATATTTACAAACAAGACATAGTCACAGAAAAAAATAAATCCAATTCACAATCTTACAAATAAAGTAATAGAAGGTAGATCATGGATTATAATTTTTACCTGGGTTAAAATTTTTACTGAATTATTCAGAACTGCAAGTACCTTGTAAATTAATAGACATTCATATTCAAGTATTAGTATTCTGACTTTTCACTTATTTGATTTAGGTGCAATTTGAGAATGACAAATTTTTTGCTTTTCTTTTAAATTTTTCCTCCCTCAGCACAGATCCGTGATAAATAAGTGTGTGTGGTAGAAATATTTAATATACAGCACACATTGAGTAATATCCTGAGAGTATGTTTATAAGGCAAGATTTATGAAAGGCAATCTTTAGTTAATAGACCACATGCTTCAAATGTTGGCTGCTTACACCTGAATTTCTCAAATAGGAGAGCTACAGATTGATCTCAAATTCTGCAGAAAATGCTTACATTTTGTTCCTGGTATGATGACAACCCAAAGGAAACTAAGCAAGCACGTTCTGGATTAGCCAGATGACTTATTTACGCTCTGAAAGCATTAGTATATATGAAAAGTGTCATGTGAAAAGTATAAGGAAAGTCGATGGTGAGCAAAGATGAATGGTAGAAGTCATGTTAATATTAAATTTTAACTTAGAACATTAAAAAGTAAATGAAAGAGAAACATCATGACAAGTCGAGAGAGAGACCACTGTAGAAAGGGGAAAGCCTTCTAATTGTAAGACTTTTAATAGCACTTTGCCCCTGATTTTTGAACAAGGGCCTTGCCTCTCCCTTTTGCACTGGGCCTGATAAATTAGGTAGCCAGCCCTACCCAGGAGGTTAACACTGCAAAGACCTTAAAGATCATCTATCTCAATCCCTTCGTCAGACAAGGAAGATGAGGCCCAGAGAGGTGAACTGGCAACTTATTTAGAAAATTAAGAAGGAAGAACAGGATGGAAGGAACTTCCTCCATCTTCACACCTTGATCAGTGAACTGGGGTCTCAAGGAAACACGCTAAATCCACAGGGATGCACACCTGTCCAACCTGTCCCTGCCCAGCTCTCTAGTATTCACACCCTCCCAGGGTTCCTAGAGCCCACTTTGTCTTCAGGGTTCGGGGCAGTAGAGCCAAAATCCCAGCATTATTTGCAGCTGCTGTGTATTTTGGCCCCATTCCCACCATCCGGGATTCCCCCACTAGGCATCACTCCCACACACTCAACAGCCAGACAAAGTCCTACCTCACCACTGGGTGTCGGGGGACTTTCAGCGGATGTGTGTTTTATTCTTGACAGCATTTGGCTTCTAGTAAGTCCACAAAGCCTTCAGATGTCTGGGACATGCATTTTCAAGATGGGGTTTAGGGGAGAACAGAGAGAATTTGCCTCCTTGGGACAAATTTCTTCCTGCCTGTGACAGTACAGAAAGGGAAAGAAGAAAATGCTAGAACTGACCTGGGAAACATGTGAGGTCTTTTCCTACTGCTCTGCTAAAATCCTTGCTATGAAGCTTAGAAATGTTGATTCGAAAAAATTTACCTTTTTGCCCTGGCCAGTGTTGCTCAGTGGTATTGACCACTGAATGGTCTTGGGGTTGATTCCCAGTCAAGGGCAGGTACCTGGGTTGCAGGTTTGATCCCTGGCCCTAGTCCAGGCATGTGCAGGAGGCAACAAATGGATGTGTCTTCCTCACACCAATGTTTCTCTCTCTCCCCCTCCCTCCTTCCCTTCCATTCTCCCTAAAAAAAAAAAAAAAAAAAAAAAAAAAATCAATGGAAGAAATATTCTCTGGGTAAGGATTAACAAAAGAAAAAAAAATAAAAAGAAAGATTTAACTTTTTTTTTTTTTTACCAAGGCAAATGATTGAATAACACAGATAACAAGTCTTTTTATCAGATGTCATGTCATCTAATATTCTAACCCCACCCCCACCCCAACACCCTCTCTCTCTCTCTCTCTTTCTTTCTCTCTCTCTCTCTCTCTCACACACACACACACACACACACACACACACACAGAGTTGGGTTTTTTCCCACTTCTTCGGGGAATTAGAAGAAAATGGACACTTTTTTCAAATTGCAGTGAGATCATTTTACCCTCCCCTGCAGTCCTAGAGCCCAAAGTACTCCCAGAACACAGACAGCGGTGTCAGAAAGGACACCATGTACCATTTCGGAATTCTGAACTCCACCCTGCCTTCCCTCCAACTACATTAAAATCCTAGAGCAGCAATTTTCAACCTTTTTCATCTCGCGGCATACATAAACTAGTTGCTAAAATTCTGGGGCACACCAAAAAATATATATATATATTGCCTATCTGACTGAAAAATACATATAATTTTGATTCATTCACAGCAGACAGCTATGGTCTTTTTTTTAAATCTTTATTGTTGAGAGGATTACAGATATCCCCTTTCTTTTCCCCCACTGTCCCCCTCCACCCAGCTCCCACCCCACCCCAGGCCTTCATCACCCTATTGTCTGTGTCCATAGGTTATGCACATATGCATGTAAATTCTTTGGTTAATCTCTTCCTGCCCTCCCTCCCCTTCCCTCTGAGATTCGTCAAGTCTGATGTTTCCATGCCCCTGGTTCTATATTATTCATCCGTTTATTTTGTTCATTAGATTCCTTGTTCATTTATTTTGATTTTTAGATTCCATTATTGATAGACATGTATTTATTATGTTGGCTGTTGTCTTTTTTTTTTCTTTTTTTAAAAATCTAAGTGGGGGGCTGGGGGGGGGGGGGTGGTCAATGTCCCCGACTAAATAGTCAGGTGTTGCATGTTTTAAGAATTCTTGTGGCACGCTGGTTGAAAATTGCTGCCCTAGAAAGACATTTTCTTTGAATAATATGTTTTCTGGGACTTCTTTGTGCTGTCTGAAAAGTACTTCTTTTTGAATGAAACGGTTTGGGCACAGGCCATAGTAGCTGTGGAGTGGCAACGGGAACTGGGACTGTGGTCGCACCCTGGTCACAGCACACCCTCCCCCAGTTTTCAGGCTGCTCCAGCTTTCTTAGAGAAAGTCCTTTCCAAGGACTTTACAGCCACACACACACACACACACACACACACACACACACACACACACAGTCTGGCTTCCTTGCTATGGGGGCAGCTTCAGGCGCTCCACCTCCTGACCCTCTGGCCCTGCATGGACCCCACCCCTCACAGTCAGCCCTCCCAACAGAAGCTGGAATCTTTCCACCGGCTCCTGGTGCTGGACTTGTGGTCTCTCACTTGTTTCCCGAGATTTCTTGCAAGGACTCAGACTTGGGTCCTCCTGCCCAGCTCTCCTCCTGCTCTTGCGTGAACCAGTTCAAGGCACCAGGCCACCCAGGGCCTCCTCGTCACTCGCAGCCCATCCTGGGGCGTTGAAGCACGTTCTGGACACCAGCGCATGATCTCGCTCTGGACTGAAACTCGGGGACAGCGACTTCTTTTTCTATGCTTCCCCCTTCCACACAAAGGCCTCGTGCAAGGATGGTACGGAGGCTCACATTAGGTGTCCAGTAACGGTTGGCTGTATAAATTCAAAGTTTCTCACGGCGAGCAGAGCCTTGTTTGTTAACATGCTGCACAGAAACTCAGTAAACACGGGTGGTGGTGACTATGACTTTGGATAAGTATCTCCCGGCGGCGTGTTCTCAGAACCCTCCCTCCACCACTGCGAAGGCCACAGGCAGGTTGACACTCTCAGCAGGTCTGAAACCCCACGCGGCTGCTCTGCCCAGCTGGAGGGCACTGGGGGCCGTTGTTGAGCTTTGAACAAATCCTGGGATTATTTATCATTGAAAATCGGACTCCAAGAGCCTTCAGATCCACGAAGGAGTTTATTATTCTCCACCCCACATCCTTTCCCCTCCCCTCGCCCTCTGCCCTGACAGCCTGCCACACTCCCAGCAGGCTCTCCGGCTCTCTCCGACCTCAGAGCACCTGTGCTTGGCAAGAGGCCGCCTTCCAGGAGTCGGGAATCGCAGACCACCCCGCACGCCACACCTGCCCTCTGACTGGGGTGGAGCATCAAAGAGTGAGAAAGGCCAGCTGAGGCAGAAACTGACTCCCTTATTGCAGGCTCCTCTCAGCAAGGGCCCGCAGCAGAGTCCGGAGAAGGAATGGAGCCCGCTGTGCCTTGGTGGGAGCTCAGTCCTGTTTCCAACCCTCGGGGCCCCCTCTCACCCCACCTCCTCCACTCTCCTGGCCTGGGCCTAACCCTCCCTCCAGCACAGCATGCTCTTAGGCCTCTAACAGGCACACACGGAGGCCAGGTGACCAAGAAAGAGAAATAACAAAGAACATTAGAGCTGGAGAGGCTGGCAAAGGTCTTCTAAGTTCGAGAATGGAAAACTCTGTTAGTTGCAGGGCCCTTTCTTCAAAAGAACCTTACCAGAAAACGCAATGAGCAAAACCAACAAAACCGCAGAGAGGACAGCCCACACTTGTGCTCTCTGGTTTTGCTCCTTCTCCTGAGCCAAGGTGTGTTCACTCCACTCCCCTTCCTCCACCGCCTCCCATTCCAGAGGCCCCTGACACCTGAGCCCAGCTGGGGTGTGCCATCTAGAGATGGTGTTTATGGAAAGTTGTAGAAGACAGGTGTTCATCAGACTATTCTTTCTTGCAATTGGTAGAAGCCCAATGCACACAAGCTTCATTCAAATGGAGCTTCACTGGAAGGGTACTGGAGCTCTCACCCCCGTGTCTGGGCTCTCAGTGCCAGGAAGACCTTCTCTCTCTGTCTCTCCGCCCTCCTTACCTCTACTTGGCTTCATTATCTCTCACAGAGACAGGATTTCCAGGGGTGACTGAAAACATAGCCTCTGGAACCCTAGATTCCCATCCATCCTCCCTCCCTCCTTAAGTTAGGAAGCCTTCAGCACTCACTCTTCTTAGATCATTGGAAAGGCCTCTGATTGGCCCACATTCTGTCATATGCCTACCCCTGAACCAATCACTGCAGCCCTTG